AAAAAAAAACACCATGGCATGAGCGCCTCATCCATTTTGGATCTTCAGTTTTGCTTGGTTGTTAAGTTATGAATCTCTGCCCACACAGCAGTGAATTTGTGTCGGAGTTCACCAAATTTGAACCCAATGCGAAATGTGCATAAGGAAATGTCTTTGCCACCGGATGTACATCAGGCGAAATTTGTGCCAATTCCCAGGAAAATGACTGGATTTAGCTTTTTTCCAAAATTTCACAGAACAATGCTAAATTGTAAACGCACCTTAAAATCAACATGAAATGAAAACTTTTCTTCTGTATTGTGACATATTTTAGTATTACTGCCTCTTGAATTAGAAAATGTAGGGCGGGATTTGATTTGTACATTCATTAAAGCAATTATATATGTTTTTTCCTCTATATTTCTACTTCTGCATTATTTAATTTTTCTGATTTTTTCTTATATTAGTGTTATATTTAATCTCTACTGTGTAATTCCTATGCACTATGGACTATCACTATCATTTATGTCTGCACTATGTCTGTACTTTCTTCTGCACTGCGATTTTGTGGGTTTATTGCAAAACATGAATATATATACTCAAGTATGTAAGTGTTTTGAGGGCATGGGGAAACCGACTTGATTATGTCATTTGTGGTGCTTCATGGGAGTGGGCGGAGCTCAAGGCTAATTTGGTGCAATTTGCACACACTCTAACTCTCTGATTGGTGGATTTTTTTTATAGCATCATGGGTGATGTGTTTAACAGTGGAATCCCTGGTGAAAAACTACAATTGATAAATGCAAACCGATGGCTTCATTAAAAGCGTATCGATTAACAACCTTTCTGCTCACAGTAGGTTTATCATTAGGTTATCATTAAAAATGAAGTTTATCATTAAAAATCAACTTCCCTATGGAGAATATGAAAGGCATTTTTATTTCTGGAACCCGACTGTTTCACTCTTGAATAAGTGCAAGAAAGAAACAACCAATCAATCAGAGTTTGGTATGCGAATAGATTCAGAAAAGAAGACCAATCAGAATTCATTGTTCTGAATGTTGAGCATTCTGTCAATGTAATGGGAGATTTTAAATTGCATTAAAAGTTTAAAGGTCATAAAACCAAAAGAACAGTCAGCACGCCTAAACGTGCTTTCACATTTTACTGTTGCTCAGCAAAATTCACAGGTAAAAGAAAGCAGAACTGAATGTGACAAAATACAATGAATGATAATGAAGTTCGTTCGCCAACCCAACCCAATGAATGAACCAATCCTGAATAACTGCTTTCCGAAGTTTATTTTTTATGTACCATTTTATAATATTGAACTACAGTGAGTAAAAAAAAAAAAAAAACACCATGGCATGAGCGCCTCATCCATTTTGGATCTTCAGTTTTGCTTGGTTGTTAAGTTATGAATCTCTGCCCACACAGCAGTGAATTTGTGTCGGAGTTCACCAAATTTGAACCCAATGCGAAATGTGCATAAGGAAATGTCTTTGCCACCGGATGTACATCAGGCGAAATTTGTGCCAATTCCCAGGAAAATGACTGGATTTAGCTTTTTTCCAAAATTTCACAGAACAATGCTAAATTGTAAACGCACCTTAAAATCAACATGAAATGAAAACTTTTCTTCTGTATTGTGACATATTTTAGTATTACTGCCTCTTGAATTAGAAAATGTAGGGCGGGATTTGATTTGTACATTCATTAAAGCAATTATATATGTTTTTTCCTCTATATTTCTACTTCTGCATTATTTAATTTTTCAGATTTTTTCTTATATTAGTGTTATATTTAATCTCTACTGTGTAATTCCTATGCACTATGGACTACCACTATCATGTATGTCTGCACTATGTCTGTACTTTCTTCTGCACTGCGAGCTCCTGTCGCAAAGACAAATTCCTTGTGTGTGTAAACATACTTGGCAATAAAGCCCTTTCTGATCTCTGACATCTGATTTTGTCAGAAATTGATTAGACTGTTGGATGCTAATTGCTGCAATCTCATGTGAGGGACAGCTTGCTGAAAGGCAGGGATTAAATCATCTGAAAAAGATGTTTTTCATTAAAGACTGAGACATGAATTTTAATAACATATTTATTTGTAGTTACATATTTATTATAAAAAAACACTGCAATGAAAAATAATTAATGTCAATTCTGATTTCATGGGGACTTTAAGAAATTCTCTATAACATTTTAAATGTGTTCATATGTTTATTGATTTAATAACATTTTGGGTTGGCAAGTTAGAAAAAACTCTAATTAGAATGTGTGCGGACTATCAATACAGTGCTATCTTGCAAAAAAACGTCTTGCACTGTACAAATACTGATGCTTGTGAGCAGCATTTGCTGTGCTTGGGAGTAATAACATATTTATTTGTAGTTACATATTTATTATAAAAAAACACTGCAATGAAAAATAATTAATGTCAATTCTGATTTCATGGGGACTTTAAGAAATTCTCTATAACATTTTAAATGTGTTCATATGTTTATTGATTTAATTGCAGAAGTCTAACATTTTGGGTTGGCAAGTTAGAAAAAACTCTAATTAGAATGTGTGCGGACTATCAATACAGTGCTATCTTGCAAAAAAAACGTCTTGCACTGTACAAATACTGATGCTTGTGAGCAGCATTTGCTGTGCTTGGGAGGTCCAGTGGAAAAAAATACCATATTCCATCGTAGAGGTTGTTGATTTGAATCTTAACGATAAGAAGCTAAGGGTGTCAAGAAATGCAATTTGCTGGGTTTGAAGATGGATAGGTCTATTATGGATGACCTAATCAGTTAGCTAAGCTATAGTCCTACAGGGCACCTCATGCAGGTTAATCTAAGAGAAATTTTGTGGGCCTCCATTAAATTTCCTTCCTAATACCTCTGCCAGTGTGAAAAATGGCAGCATACGGACAATTGGCTTGCTGTAACTCGGGAGCAAAAGGGATATTATAAAAACCTCCACCGTTACTGGCTTCTTGTGGGCTGTCTGACATTTAAAAATAAATACTAGAGCAAAACTTTGTTTTGATTTGTACTATTTGTAAGGAATGGGTATTAAACACTTGGAAAGAACCCGAATACTTGCAAGACAGAATTATTGAATAAGAACTATTGAAGAATTATTGAGGTGTATATATACTCACAGTGGCCGTTGCCAAAGGGCAGCCTCTTCTCATCTGGATGTTTGGACTTGCTATATCTACAAAACCTGTCAATTAAAGTGATGAAAAGCATTAATTATTCTTAATGGCTTTAATTGGATCCTTTTTCTTCTCTAAACGATGTACAAAGCGACTAAAACCTGAACAGACCAAAGTCAGAGCCAGGAACAACTCGACTGTTTTGCTTTTCTATGAGGCATAACAGTGTTCTGGGGTCTTATAATAAGCCATAGATTCATGCACTCTTTCAATGGTGCCGTCTGCCAAAATCAGCCCCTCTGCATGACACGACACTCGACTCTCATGGTACCCGTTACATTCGGCAGGAAAAATAACACGGCTTCTGCCAAGTGAATCGTCTACGACTATATATAGGCAGCAGACTTGAAGGGGCACACATTTTCATACTTCATATCTGAAGGGTGGGAGATCAAGGGTCCTGGGGAGAGACTTGAGACAGCAAAGTGACAGCTTCAAGATGGGCACACTTAAACCTCTGTGTGACTGCACTTTGACTGACAGACAGACCTGCTAATCACAATGTAGAGCACTACAGTGAGGAGGATGATGGCCACGGCGGAGGAGACAGCGATCAGCACTACCTGACTGTTCTCACTGGAGATGGAAAAGGCTGCGGAGAGAGACAGAGAGAGAGAAAGAGACATTGTAAATACACATTGGACAGATATGTAGCTGTTCAAGGTTAATTAACACAAATGTACCATTTTTTTTTTAATAATGGCATTGAACTTAAACCCAACCTCAGTTCATAACTCAATACTTCACACATATTCAAATAGAAACATTAAAAGTCACACAATGTCCCCTTGTGAAAAAGAAGTGTGCTTAATTGTACTGAATGTGCACTTGTAGTTTACAAATTTTAAAAGTGTATTTAAAATAAACGTGTTTGCAGATAATATCAAATTAATGAAATAAAAGGTCACTTAAGTGTACGTAAAGAGAGTACACCTTCATAAATGTTTCTTAACACACTTAAATACACTTTTGAACAGTGCACTTTGTAAACATGTAAAATGTAAAATTTTTATGTTTTACTTTAAATTACATTTTAAATAAATACTATATACTATATACTTTAAAATACAGTAGTCAACATTTGAAGTGGATCAAAAAAGTTCATCAAAGTTGTCCTAAGACAAGAACGCATTTTGGTTTTGGGTTTTAGGGCAACTTTGATGAAAGGTTTTGATTCACTTCAAATGTTGACTAGTGTAGTACACTTGTGATGTGTTAACTAACATACAAAAGCACATGTAAAGTGCTTATAACTTTAACTGTAGTGCGTTATTTGATATTGCATTTAAAGTTAATCTATTTTAAATGTATTAAATTGCAACTTCATTAAATGTGTAATTATACATGTATTTTAATACATGGCATGAAAGTTTCAACCGAAATTACAGTATGTATTTAGTTTAACTTGTCAGTACATTCAGCAGTACACTTTTACTATTTTTAAGACAACAGAAGTAATTATGAAATTACATATAAAGACGTACAAAAAAGCACTCTAAAGTTCAGCTAATTTAGCATTTCATTTAAAGTGTATTTCTTTTCCTGAAGGTCCTTTTAGTCGTTTTATATTTCACCCACTAAAGCCCCGTTTCCACCGCAGGAACATTTCCCAGGAACTAGGGACTTTGGGCCAGTACTCGGTGTGTTTCCACCACATGAACTAGGATCTAAATAAAGTTCCGGGTAAAAATTTGCCCCTCAGAAAGTCCCTGCATGCTAGGTAGTACTTTTTCAAAGGTCCGGAACTTTCGGGGGCGGGACTTGGGCGCTGAGCATGCTGATTGGTTGAGTTCACACAGCATAGAGTCCGGATAGCTCAGTCGGTAGAGCATCAGACCTTTAATCTGAGGGTCCAGGGTTCATGTCCCTGTTCAGGCAAAGTGCCATCTATGGGGAAGTCGTGGCTGTCACATTGTATTTCAACCACCATTTATTCGCATATTTAAAAAAAACAAATATTAATGTTATTGTGTCATGAAAAGAGCCTCAACTCGGCTAGTCCTTCTGACATTTGCCCCTGGTTCTGATGTCTCTGTAGTGGTTAAACATAAGATATAATTCGTTTTGGGTAAATCTAACAGGTGTTTATTCTGTTAATCTATTAATATGTTAAAATGAAAATGAAAAGAGGCAATAATGTTTGATATATTTAGTTTCATTGTAATGTACGTTCCCTGAACTACATCTGCGGCTATTAATATGTTTAAATGAAAACGAAAGGAGGCAGTGGTGTTCGATATCATATTTTGTCTTATTGTAAATACAGTGAGGAAAATTGCAGTAGTCAAGGTGAGCTGACTGACGTTATCAAGTACGCTACTGTTTGCACACTACCGAGTCGAACTTGCGAAGTCCGAACTACCGAAGATGCAAGTCCGAAATTTCTGTACTTGGTATTGAGAAACACGCGCAGACCTACGTCACCAGACTATTTGCCTAATCTTCTCTGTACTTTAGACCACGATGGAAACACAGACAGCAACAGGTCTGGGGGAAAAATAGTTCCTGGGACAAATTGTTCAAGGTAATTTAGGTGGAAAAGCGGCTTAAGAGTTTGACAGGGTCACAAAGACTGATTTTTATGGTGAATTTAAAATTAAATTATAAATAATTGTACGCATATTTTCTGTCACAACAATATGTCAACTCAAAAACAGCATTTGTAATTTTCAGATAATTTCCCACATGATAAGTATTTCCCATTTGTAGTTAAAACGCCAGAAAAATAGAATTGTTGCTGCTTTTGAATACACGAGTGATGTGAAAAGTTCATTTTGTTACTCCATCAACACCGTCTGTTTTTCTTCAGTAGATGGAGTTGACAGTAAGTTTGAAACAATCTTGTATTCTCAATCCATTCTTAATCAAAGCTGGATGCTAGATTTTAAATATTTATCATAAATATGTGACATGATGACAGCACAGGGTTTTTTTCTATCAGATGGTGTTGACACATATTGAGTGATGGCAAAGAAAAACAAATTTTGTGAGGAAATGGAAGCAGCAGGAGGCTGTGCGCCACTGTAAATTAATACCGCAGATTATACTGATGAGATTTTTTCCCAGTAGTGGGATGAAATAATCAAGCCATTAGATGAAATAATAAAACATCAATGTTGAGAAATAAACCTTTAACAATCATCTAGATGCCCATTATTTCCCACAGATGAATATTTTACACAATTTATACACTATCCTACATATATTCATAAAACATTTTCTTTCATTATGGAATATCTGGTGGCTGAGAAACATAATTTCATTTTCTGCATAAATTATGCTCCTTGGTCTACATTTCACACCAGCTATACATACAGAGGCGCCTATAGATCGCTGATCGTGCTCAGAAACCTGTGGAGAGCCGCTCACAGTATCTTTTCATTACATGAGTGTGCATTGATTTGCTATAAATGTTTCATTAGATAAAAAGGCCTTCAGCAATGCTGCGACACAATCTAGGGTTTACAAAATGCTCAGTCTAAGTGCTTAACAGTGCTGCAGACAACAGCTGCCAGCATGGGACAAAAGATGCAGCACGTATCGTTTTAACCAAGTGGTTTATACTGTGTGAATGACTTGTATGACAGTGTATTGGATCAGAAAGCAAGGGAATTGCGAGGAATTGTCTTTATTGTTCATTTGGGCTGCACAGCTGTGAATGGATTGAATCCGGTGTTGTGACTGCAAGGGAATATGACTGTAAATGGAGAACAGAATGAAAGGAAGTTTGTAAATGCTTACAGTCTGGACTGGTCTCAAACTCAAACTTGCGACTGCTACCGCCGTATCCGGCCGCGGTGCGCGCTCTGATTTGTAGCAGGTAGTTTGTGTCGGGTTTTAGTCCGTTCAGTGTAACGTTTGTGCCCTTTGATCTCAGGATGGTGTAGCTGGTCTCTTGTTCCTGCTGTGGGATAGAAAGCAATAAGAGGAAAACAAGAGATATGTTAGTTTTAGCATAACATAAACATCTGAACATCTTTTGCCTCCAATATCAAATAAATGAATCAGATTGACGGTGAGTCAAATACATCTTTTATGATTTTCTGGTTATTATGATGCAAGATTTCATAGAAATATAGAAGAACAAGGATATAAGAAGTCAACATGAAGAGCTTTGCACAACATATTTTAATTAATAATCTCAAGTACACTACTGTTCAAATGTTTTAATGTTTTTAAAATAAGTCTCACAAGACACTGTATTTATTTGTTCAAAAATGCAGTAAAACAGTAATAGGGTGAAATATTTTACAACATAAAATATTTTTATATTTTCCTATTTTTATTCAAATATTTAATATATATATATATATAAAAAAAGTAATTTAGTCCACATGATCCTTCAGAAATCATTCATATATGCTGGTTTGCTTCTCAAGAAACATTTCTTATTAGAATCAATATTGAAAATGGTTGAGCTGCTTATTATTTTTTGTGGAACTGCAATTTTTCTTCAGGATTGTTTGATGAATGCAAATGTTAAGAGAACAGCACTGATTTGAAATATAATTATGTTTTGACGTTACAGATGTCTGTATCACCTTTGATCAATTTAAATGATTTCTTTTTGAATAAAAGTATTAAACTATTAAAACTGACCACAAACTTTTGCATACAAGTACATTTCTGAGCAGAACAGGATATTCAACAAGAAAACGTGCTAAAAATGTGGGAAAATTCCTCCCTGCTCCAGCAGATGCATGTTTACCACCTACATAGAAAACATCTTCCCGGGACTGTTACTAATATGGTCTGAATTGCCTTAAAGGGACTTCAGAGCAACCTAAAGAGGATCTTAAAATCTTAAAGAGGAATAGTGAGCATTTGAAATAAATCATATCTCATTAGAGACGCACAGAGACATGCGTCTGTCTGACATGTGACCGTTGGAGCGGACAGGAGAGGGACGTCCCACCGGACGTGAAAATGCATGCTCATCAGGCTGCTTGGGACAGTGCCAGCTCATCTTAATATACTGCCACCTTCTCCTCACGTTTTTATGGCTTTCCTAAAGATTTCTGTGGTACGTTGATCCTCTCTACAAGCGAAAAAAACCTAACTGATTTATGGGGCGTCTTTGCTTTCAAACCATTGTTTCCAGATGTTTCTCTGACTGGAAAAAGGCAAGAGTGGAATGAGAGAGAGAGCGGAGGTTTCTGCTGTTTATTGTAGGAGTCCAGAAACGGGGGAAAACATCCCACAAATAGAGGGATCACTCATTTGCCGGCATTATCCAGCACATTCATCCATGTAACTTATCAGTCTTCGGCCATGGCTAGTGTTATGGCAAACCTTCAAAAGTTGATTTGCATTTTGCTCCATCGTTGACCTCTAAGAATAGCTCACTTGTCCACACTGTAGATATTGAATTTCCCCACAATGAAGTAATTAATGGCAAATGAGATTTGAGAGCATCTTTTCGAGGGTCGGCAAACACGCAACAGATTAAAGCTCTATTGGGTTTCATGTCTAGACTACACATGCTAATAGGATTTTTGATGCGCGCTGGTATGGACCATAATTGTCAGACGCCACTAGATGAGAGAGGCAGTGTACAGTTACATACGCTGGATTTCTTTGAATAGCCTTTGCTTATCCACTAATCAGAAACAAATAAAACAGCAATGTTAGCTCAGCCACATTTAGAACAATGCTACACTGATGCGACTGCAAGTACACAAGAGACAAGGCTTTCAAAATGCTAAAACACTGGTTTTGTTTTTCGGATTTCCAGAAAAAAGCTTAAAAAATAGCCACACAGAACTCTGTAAAAACAGATTAAACTTCAAAAGTTAAAAGTTTGGAAAGACATTTTGAAAAATAAATAATTAGAAAAAAATAACACTTTTACTCAACAAGGAGACATTAAACTGAAGAAAAATTGTCAGTAAAGTATTTTACATTATTATAAAATATTTCTATTTAAAATAAATACTGTTCTTTGGGACTTTCTATTCATTACAGAATGTATTACGGTTTTCACAAAAATAATAAACAGCACAACTATGACAACTTAGATTTTTTTTTTCTTCACAAAACCAGCATATTAGAATGATTTTTGTGACACTGAAGACTGGAGTAATGAAGCTGAAATTCAGCTTTGCCATCATTTGAAAATACACTAAAATATTATTTTACAACAGCTACTTGAAATTGTAGTAATATTTTACAATATTACAGTTTTTACTGTATTTTTGATCAAATTAATGCAGCCTTAGTGAGCATAAGAGATTTCCTTAAAAAAATATTTTAAAAATATTTTTAAAATCCCAAACTTTAGAAGTGTAGTGTATATGTTCTGTGTGTTTCTTGTTTAAAGAAACTGTGATTAATGTTAGAATGTTGGTGTATTAAGAATTATAGAATTCTAATTAGATAATATAGAAAAAAAATTAATAAACATACAATATAGAATTTATATAGATAATTTTTACAAAGCAATAACTACGATACATAGTGAAGTTTTTTTTAACAGTAGACCAAATCAGTTGGAAGTTTAACCAAATGTTGAATATATGACCTCACATGGATATAACATTTGCTAAATCCTGTGGAAAATGTGGAATATACAAGCAAAAAATAAAAGCAACAAACACGCACATGCAATATGCGTCTTTACTGCTTAAATACACATTTCACCACATAAGTAATAATATTTGACATTGACCAGACTTATACAATCAAAACCAGACCGCTGGTTTAGACTGAACATGTTACTTACAGCATTCAAAATAAATGAAAAGCCATGTTTTATCAGCATTGCATGGTTTTTATTCACATCTCCTTTCACAAAGAGCCAGTACGTGCTGCGATGACGGCAAAACATGGCTTTCCGTTAGGTCATAGATGGTCTTTTGGGCCTTACATCTGTTAAGCTT